ATTTATTACATTTATGGTTTTGCCTATGTTGAACCACCCTGCATCCCTGAAATAAAACCTACCTGGTCATGGTGTATAATATTTTTAATGTGTCATTGGAAATGATTTGCTAGTATCTTCTTGAGAATTTTATCATCTATATTTATCAGGGATATTGGTCTGTAGTTTTTTGTTTTCTTTTTTTGTTAGGTTCTTGTCTGTTTGGGGGATCAGGGTGATTTAGGCTTTTTAGAATGAATTTGGGAGGGTTCTATCCTTTTGGAAATTTAGAATAGTTTGAGTACAACAGGGGTTAGCTCTTCTTTAAAAGTTTTGTAGAATTCTTAATGAAGCCATCAGGACCTGGGCTCTTCTTTGTTGGGAGGCTATTTATTACTGATCAATCTCAGTGTTTGTTATTAGTCTGTTCAGGCTTTCTATGTTTTCCCAATTCCATCTTGGTAGATTATATGTGTCCAGAGATTTGTCCATCTCATCCAGGTTTTTGTGTTTGTTGGTGTATAGTTGCTTGTAGTATTCTCTGATGATCTTTTGTGTTTTTGCTATGTCTGTTGTAATATTGCCTGCTTCATTGCAGATTAGATTTATCTGGTTCCTTTCTCTGCTCTTTTTCATTAGTGTAGCTAACGGCGTGTCAATTTTATCTTCTCAAAGAACCATCTTTTTAAAAAAATTTTCTGTGTAGTTTGTTTATTCTCTATTTTATTTATTTATGCTCAAATCTTTATTATTTCTTTCTTCTGGTATTTTTATTGTTGTTTTTCCTGTTCTCTGAGGTGCATTGTTGTGTTGTCTGTTTGCCACCTTTCTATCTTTTTTTTATATGCACAAATGCTATCAATTTTCCTCTTAAAACTTCTTTCTCTGTGTCCCATAAATTATGAAAATGTGTGTGCTCATTATCATTGATTTTAGTGAATCTTTTGATTCCAGTCTTAATTTCTTCAGTGATTGTAAAGTCATGCAGGCATGGGTTGTTTAATTTCAATGTGCTTGCATATTTCAAGGGTTTTTTACATTTTCAAATAATAATCATATGATAGTGCACAAAACCAATCTTTACAAATTCAAAGGCATAGAAACTATATCCAAGATTTTTCTTCAACACAATGGAATTAAACTTGAAATTAACTGCAGAGTATTGAAAATTGTTAATTGCAGAGCTATATGTAGCATAAAACACAGGCCTGCCAATGAAATATAGTTCCCTATGGAGGGCACTTGTTCAGATACACACGGGGTGTCTGAAGACAATGGCTATGTTGTGATCACCAACTTGGTGAGATGGATAAGAGGTGCCCAGTTCCTTGAGAGCATGCTGGAAACTTAGCATCTTCCACCCCTACCTATGACTTGCATAGCCTATATTTGATATTATTTTTGAATTTGGAAAAATAAATCTTATTTAAGTAACAGTTCATTGAGCTTTCAGGTATTTATAGATGAATGTAGTCTGAAACTTGGAGTTGGGCCTCAACATGAATTTAGGAGGACATCCAAGCATAGCATTCTACTGATCTGAGAACTCACTTTCTTGTAATGTACAAAATGCTTTTATACCATTATAATAACCCCAAAATCTTAACTCATTTCAGCACCAACTCAAAAGTTCAAAGTTCAGAATCTCATTGAAGTCAGATATGTTTGCATGTCAAGGTATGATTTCTTCTGAAGAAAATTCTTTTTTTAACTTGGAGACTGTGAAATCAAAACAAGTTATTTACATCCAAAATAAAAATGATGGAAAAGTGTCAGGATAGACATTCCAATTCAAAAAAGTAGAAACTAGACAAGGAGAGGTAACTGGATACCTATTAACTCCAAAATCCAAAAGGAAAACAACTTTAAGTATTATTGTTGGAGAATAATCTCCATTGACTTCATGTTTCACATCCTGAGAACACTGGTACAGAGTTTAGGGCTACCAATCCTTAGGCAGTCTTGCCCAAATGGCTGTCCAGGTTCAGTTCATACTTTATGTCTCTTGCACTGGAGTCTTGTTGATGTACCTCTTCCAGCTGGCATTACAGGTTGATAGCTCCACAGTTCTGGAGTCTATTAATTTGATTTATTTTTCCAGCTTCATTGAGATATAATGGACAATTCATTACATATTTTATATGACAAATGACAATTACATATCTGATGATTTGAACTATGTGCATGTGTGTATATGTGTGTGTGTGGACCTATCTCACATCGCATGTAAAAATCAACTGTAGTTGTTCCCTGAACTTAATAAATGAGGCAACCCTGCTCCCACAGCCCCACCAGGCACTAGGTATTTCTGTAATGAGAACGTTGTGTGATAGCTACAGCCCCTGATTTTCATTCTTCATTGCCTTAGCGGAGGCTCTCTTTAGTGGTTCTACTCCAGTCTACAAGTCTGTGCAGATACAGCCAGGATGTTCTGGACATTTTTTTTTTTTTTGAGAGGTTTTTGCTATAGGGCGCATGCACTCGCCAGACAGAGAAAGACAGAGAGACAGAAAGTGAA